AGCCTGCGTGGCAGGCACTCAGTTTTACGGGGGCCTGATTTGCAACGGGCAGGATTTTGGCGGGCACGGGGGAGGATTGAGGGCCTGCAGGAAAGCCTGGCTTTCACGACTACACGCCGTTCAGATTCTGAACGGTGAATACGATCACCTGATTGGTCAATACGAAGACAGTGGAAAACCGTAGCATTTGTTGATTTCAATATTGTTGCCTATCAACTTTCTAATCTTGATACGTATCAACTTTCTAATTTTAATAGTTAAAAGCTTTCTAATCTTGAACTGTTGAACATAGTGGCTATTTTTCTTGTTCAGCAGCGATACAAAAGATGATCTCACTGGCCAGTCGTCAGGAAATAGCACAGGATACTGCAAACAATTAACGTGCATGGATGTAAATACTGATTCTGATGATGTACTAAATAAAAGTAAGCTCAACATCGACGGTTTGAAAACGTGTGAAGGGCGTTCGTCACTGGGTGGTCCAGCCACAAACAACAAGATTTCTAATTATTTGGACTGTCTTTTCGTTTGTAGGGTTTCGCGTCACAATACTCCCATTCGGATGACCTAAAATCACTTTTAATGATTTAAGTGACGAACGCCCTTCACACGTTTTCAAACCGTCGATGTTGAGCTTACTTAGTACATCGTCAGAATGATCAGTATTTACATCCACGTTGTCTGCAGTACCTGTGCTATTTCTTAATGACTGGCGAGTGAGATCATCTTTTCTATCACTGCTGAACAAGCATTTTTTACGCGCAGATTTCGATTCAGTTCTAGACATACTACCCGGAGAACATCGCGGAGAACAAACGCGATTTGATTCAGTTTGGTTGAATGGACTAGCGCCACGGTCAGCGGGTCAGGAGTTAACAGTTTACGCTTTCCTGATGTTTCTACATCTTTGGGCTGGTAATGGTGTTGAAACTTCTCGTGTAGTGTATTAACTGAAGATTTTAATTCCGTTACAAGCTCATGCACTTTTAGAATTTTTTTTGAAGCCAACTTTCTCACATATAATCTGAGAGCACAATTCCGAAAGATTGTTTTCTTTTCAACATGGACAATTTTACTAAAATTGCTGAATTGCTGTTTAATTTAAAACAATCTGCAATACTGTATTAAATCGTCGGGAGTTTAATTCGCAATATTGTTTGATTGACATGTTTACGTGCAAGCGAATATTATTTCTTTGGGGCCAGGGTTTTCCCCAATTGCAGCTGAATTTTTATTGGTCAATTTTAGAAACCATTAACTAGTTTACCCACAGGGTAGTGAATGCTGCCTTGGTATAGCATTTCGATACATCAACATTTTCAAAAACGGCCAATTAGACCGGCATAGCACAAAACATGGACTGGACCCAAAATTGGACCCAAAATTGGACTCAAAATTTTAGCCAAAATTGGACTCAAAATTTTAGCCAAAATTTTGCCCAAAAATCCATTATTTTTTCGGAGAGAAACAACCCTTAGAATATCGTGCTTAATTGATTTAATTTGTATAGGCAAAAAACTTCACGTTCCATCACTTTTCCTTGACCTATCTAGCTATTTGTCTTCCAAAATTCTATATTCTATTTTCTAAACGTTATCTAGGGTATCTCGTAAATAATAAACCTTTGTGAAATATCTTTGCGCAATGGTCACAAATACATCATATCGATATAAATCATTCCATCAATATATACATCAATATATATAGTTATTTTAATTATATACATTTTGTGTCTGTATAATACACCCTCTATATATTCCGGCATATATATCCTCTAACGAGTAAGGAGTTCCCAAAGTTTGTTTTGTCCATATATTCTAATATTTATCACAACTATAGCTATATGTGGGCTTATCATTATGCATTATTCTATTTTATTATCATAAAATAGAATATAGAATTTTGGAAGACAAATAGCTAGATAGGTCAAGGAAAAGTGATGGAACGTGAAGTTTTTTGCCTATACAAATTAAATCAAAGCACGAAATTTGGGCAAAATTTGGGCTAAAATTTTGAGTCCAATTTTGGGTCCAATTTTGGGTCCAGTCCATGGGTCCAGTCCATGTTTTGTACTATGCCATTTTATTCAGATTATTAGAGAGACACAAATATATCCAATTCACACATGCATATTATATTCACATATATATATATATATATATATATATATCCAATTCACACATATATAACCAATTCACATGACATATATATCCAATTCACACATATATTTATCCAATTGCACATATATCCAATTCACACATCGAACAGCTATATATACAGATTACGAAAGCATAGAATAGAACAAAGGTAAGCACTAGAATTATCCACATGGGTAATTACATATAATTCTAATTTGTCTAACTTTCAGTGACAGCAGCAAACGTTTTCGCGAAGAATATTTTTGGCACATTTTAAATGCCGCGTATATCTATATACGATCTGCGCGAATTCTCATACAGCGCGCATTTAAATAGTCCAGGGCGCGAAATAACGGCCGGTCAACGGATAATGTCCGGCCAGAATGCGGAGTTGTCAAATTCTTACCTTGCATGCCGGTCATTTTGACCCGTCACTTTCGGTAAAAGAACAAACTAATCTTCATTTGAAATTAATACTCAAAATAAAGTTGTCAAGCATTATAAAAATAATTATAATTACTGCCGATGCAATGGAAGTGTTGATAAAATATTGCATGAATTCATTTCCTCAAGTTGATCAATTCATACGAATTCAAATTTCTTTTTACTTCCTGTGCGTTTCCTATATTATATTGGTCAATCGGTTCTGAAATGAAATCTAATTGGCTCATCTAAAAGTAACAGGAAGTTGATCAATTTTCTATCAAATGAATTGATCAACTTGAGGAAAGGAATTGGTGCAATATTTTATCAACACTTCCTTTGCATCGACAGTAAGAACCATAACATGTTGTTGAATATTTTGCGGCAGCTTTCCCACGCAAGTACGTCACAAAGCCCTTGGCCATGCTTTTGGCGGTAATTCCGCAGTTTTGCATTGCGCACTTTTACTGCGCACATCTTATAACTTATAATTTCATCCATTATACGTACCGTTTAAAACAAAACATCATTTTATGACAATTTTATGTTACTTCAAAACATCTTTGGTTACAATCGTGCAAAAAATTACGTTAAAATCAATGTTTTCAAAAAAGGCATACAAAAGTGTAGCTAGGGTTCCCTGTGTCTGTAGTATATTTATTT